TCTCTTCCTCACTCTTCAGTTTATCCATTTTCTTTCCTACCTCCATTCCCCTTCATTTTTCCTTCCTCCTTGCTTAAGCTTTGGGCCTTCCGATGGCACTCTTTTTTCTAATTATACTTGGGCTCAATAAATCTCTGGTTACTGACCAGGAATCAACTCATGATAGCTCGTGTCAGTGCTAAGGAACATTCAGTGAAAACGCTGGTGGCTTAAGGGAAGCCATACATTCAAACCCCTACCTTGGCATTTGAACACTGGCAACACATGGAAGATTATGTACAAGGATGTAAGCATTTGTAAGTCTCTGTCACAGGGCCTGCAGAGGAGGTGTTGGCTCAGGGACTGACAAAATGTGCAGCTCTATGAATAGCCACAAAACCCATTATCTGTTGTGATAAATAGGTGGCAGTAATTACTGCCACTGTGTGATGGAGAGAGTAAACACACATGGCTCCATGGAGAGCACAACTAAGGAGAGAGCTCAGTTGGGTCAGAGAGAAGCTTGAAGACAAAGGGCTCTGAGCAAGGGAATCAGCCATGAGCAGAAATAGGCCAGAGGTGGCTGGGAACGTGGGAGCTGCGTTGATGGCAGCTTGCAGAGAGGAATTTGAATCTGATCTGTCATTTCAGGGAGCAGCTATGGTTTTTGTTTTGTTTGGGGGTTTTCTTGTTGTTTGTTTTGCAGTACTGGGGATTTAACCTAGGGCCTTGAACATGCGAGGCAAGCACTCTTAACACTGAACTACATCCCCACCCTGCTATGGGGCTTTTTGAGGCAAGGCTCTTGCATGGGACAGCTCTCCCAGACAGTGTGATGAAAAACTATTGACAGGGTTTCCCCTGAATGACTCCCTGGGGGTTCCCCGTCCCCACAATTTCAGCACTTATTGGCTCTGACCATTCTTCAGCGCCCCAGCTACTTAGGAGCCTGAACTTGCCTCTGTAACCTAGCTTATGAGATCTTGAGCAGAGGTTTTGGAAGGAGAGGTGTTGGCCCAGAAGTGGTTCTGAAGGCTTTTTTGTGCAGGATTAATCAGAGTCTGTGAAGCTGGTGGCTTTCATCAGGGCACAGGGTATTCCAGGGAGTGGAATGCTGGCTGTGTCAGGGAAGCTAGTGTCTATTCCTCCAGCCCTGCCTCCCCTCAGATCTACCCTCCAGGTATAGTGACATAGTAAGTTCTTAAGGCAGGCCCAGGTTACAGGGACCCCCTTTTCCCAACCCTGCCAGACTTTCAAGAACTCAATATCCATTAGTGTGTGGAGGTAGGAGTTGGGGGTGTTCGTGGTTACTAGCCAGGCCCATGGTAGGCTGAGCAAGGAATTGCCTTATTAGAGTCTCCAGGCCCAGGAGAATGGATGGCTGCTATTGTCCCCCAGAACTCCAGGACCCACTGGAGCTCAGGAGCTCCAGGAGTCTTCTGCATCCCTAGCTGCCAATGGAAAGAGGGCCCCAACAATGGTCTAGTCCTTGTACCAGCAAGGAAAAGCCTGCTCCAGATTGCAGAATAGGAAGATAGTGGGGTGGGTTGCACTTCCAATTGAGTCTAGAACCTCTGGAGTTGTCTGGGGTTTACCAAGGTAAGGATCTAGCGAACTTCCTTTTTATTCTCTCTCTAGCTTAAGGCCAGAGAGTGTCTTGCTCTATAAAATCCAAATGGCCTCCTTCCTTCTCCCACCTCTCCCCAAAAATCTTCATGTTAGCCTTTAAGTACCACAGGGCCTCTCACTCGGGAGGTGGCAAGTAGCCTGAAAAGTAGGATAGCAACAAGGGCCTTGAAGTTCTAGCTCCCAACTGGGCATCTGCTATTTCACCACCAGGAGGACTGGCACTGCCCCACTTTGGGGTCTGTAGTAGATTGCTTCATAATGGGCTTGGGTTTGCCCATCTAAAAATCTGAGGGCATTAGGGGGTGGGGGGTAGCTCAGGGAGAGTGTACTTGCCTGGCATTGTCTGAGGCCATGGGTTCAATCCCCAGTATCACAAGATAAATAATAAATACATTTAATTAAATACATTAAATTTTAAAATGATAATAAAAGCTAAAGCTGTTAGACTTGTTTTTCAATGGCCTGCGCAGCTCTGACATTTTTGGATCCTATGTAAAGGGAACTATTATTCCTAACCCAGAATAGGGAGGATGGGTCCATTCTCAGAGCCCTGGTTCTCCCTTGGACTACTCAAGAAATTCTCCTTCACCTCTTGGTTCTGTATCCTGACCCCCACACCACCACCACTTTGCACTAACCATGGGGAGAGGTGGCAAAGAGAAGGACTACATAATGGAATTATAGATTTGGAGCTAGAAGTGGGAAACTCTACACAAGTCCTGTGTTATGTTATAATTATTTTAATTTAGATGAAATTTACATGACATAAAATTTATCATTTTAAATTATACAATTCAGTAGCATTTAGTTCATTCATAATGTTATGCAACCACAGTCTCCATCTCATTTCAAAATATTTTCAATTCCCCACTCCTCCAGACCTGGTAACCACCAATTTACCTCCCAGCTCTGTGGATTTGCCTATTCTAGATATTCCACATAAATGCAATATATAATGTATTAGTTTATTTTTCGTTGCTATAATAAAAATATTTGAGGCTAGGTACTTACAAAGAAAAGATATTTATTAAGCTCACAGTTTTGGAAGTTGAAAAACATGGTGCTGATAACAGTTCTGCTCTGGTGAGGTCCCCCTTAGCTGTGTCACACAGTGGATGGCATCATGGTGAGACCACATGTGCAAGGGAGATGGCAATGGCAAATGATGGAGAAGGGCAAGTTTTGCCTTTTTTTTTTTTTGATACTGGGAATTGAACCCAGGGATGCTTAACATTGAGCCACATCCTGGCCAGCCCTTTTTATTTTGTATTTTGAGACAGGGTCTCACTAAGTTAGGGCCTGAGTTGCTGAGGCTGGCTTTGAACTTGCAATCCTCCTGCTTCAGCCTCCTGAGCTGCTGGGATTACAGGAATGTGCCGCTGTGCCTGGCTAAGTCTTGCTTTTTCATAACAACTTATTCTCGCGAGAACAACTAAGATGCTCTGTGAGACTCTCACTAACTCCTTCCCAGGGAGGGGCAGTGCCCCCAAAGACCTGACAACGTCCCAGGAGATCCCTCCTTGTAAAGTTTCCGCCACTCCTCACAAGGCCCATAGCAGGAACCAGGCTTCCCACAGTGAGCCATATCCAAACCACAGCATACAATACGTGGCTGACTTCCTTCACTTAGCATATGTTCAATATTTATCCATATTATATCAGTACTTTATTTCTTTTCAAAATTGTTAATATTGTGGTAAAATATACATATTATAAAATTTACCTTCTTAAATGTACAAATCAGGGGCTTAAAAGAAAATTCATAATGTTATGATGCCATCACCACTATTTCGAGAAATTTTTCATAATCCCCAACAGAAACTCTAATCCCATTAAACAATAACTCCCTGTCCTCTTCCTCCAAGGCCCTGGTGGCCTCTATTCTACTTTCTACCTCTATGAATTTGCCTATTCGAAGGATCACAACGGTGGAATCCTACAATATGTGGCCTTCTGTGTCTGGCTTCTTTCACTCATTAAGGTGTTTTCAAATTTCATCACTATTTTTTATGGGTGAATACTATTCAATTTATTATTTTCATTCAATGAACAATTGAATGAAAATAATAAATAGAATAGTATTTATAATAAATATTTATAATAGTATTTATTGATAGTGCTAACACAAGCTAAACAAGCATTCTACCACTGAGTCACAACCCCAGCCCTGGAAGGCAGATCACGTGCCACTTTTCAAGTACTTCACTTATATCACTTTATTTTTCCCACTTATTTATAGCCCAGTGGTTCCCATTGTGCAGATAAAGACCCTGGAATTCAAAGGGGAACAGTGACTTTCCAAAATGTCACAAAGATGATTAGTGATTAAGTTGCTGTTAGAAACCTATTATACCTCTATCCCCAGGAGCCTGTGGGGCTTGAGAAAAGTGGAGATAGGGAGGTCAGCAGACAAGAGGCCAAGAAAAAGCTGACCTGGGACAGAATCGGGGCAGGAGGAGATGGGGTAAGGCCATCACCTCTGACTTCTCCCCCTCCAGCCCTGTACCTTTTCCACTAGGCCTCCTACAGGTCCCTGGCCTACCTCTACCCCAGCCAGCCAGGAGAGCACCTTTCTGGCTGTTACCCTTCACCTGCTTCCACGTCAGCCTTTCTTTTCCTCCCCATAGCAGGCCCTGAGGCCTCTAGAATTAGCAGCAGCATGGCCCAAGGCCCTCAGATGATGCTCTGGGCTAACTGCTCTGACTTTCACCTTGACAGTCTACTTCATTCCACTCCTGTCCTCTGCTCAGACCTGGCTAACCTTCCTTGGGTCTGATCCTCTTGTCCTCCAGCATCGGCCTGGACCTGACCTCTATTCTCCCAAATCTTACATGGGGACCTGGACCTAAACACAGTGTGTATGGTCTTTGTCCAGACGTCAGATGGTCCAGGGAGGGGAGAAAGGGAGGTTATTTTTGCCTAAGGGACTCTGTACCTTATGAGAGTCAATGTGACTTTTTACCTACATTTCTTACAGCCCCTCTTACCCCAGTGCAAAACACACACACACACACACACACATACGCACACGCGCGCGCACACACGCGCACACACACTCATCTTCTTCCTTCCCACTCCTTGTTCTGCCCTTAGGAACTGGAACCCCTCCATGTTCTCACTCTTCTGCCCCCCTCCCCACCATGGTCCCCTCATCTGCTATGAGTATCTCCAAGAAAGAGGTTGAACAATTTAGATTTTCCGTAGAGTCTCCAGGAGCCTGGGGGTACAGAGGCAGCTTGAGTTGGGAAGATGTTGAAGAGGCTGTTCTCCAGAAGCCAGAGTCCATCAGCCACTCCAAATCTTCCTGCTGCAGGAACACTGGTTTAGAAAACTGGAGTTTTGGGGGGGTGCCTACGGACCCACCATGGTCCCAACCCATCTGGAGGCTCCTTCTAGATGTATCCAGGTCTTCTCTTCCTCTTCTTCCCCAAGATTTTGCCAGGTTGTGCCTTGGACAGAGGGTAGAGGGGCAAGGCAATTCGGTCCTTTATCAGGGTTTGGTAATCCTTTATGAGGTCCTTACTCAGGGGCATGCTGGGCAGCAAGGCCAGCTTTAGCGCCTTCTCCTGGTAATGAGGCACAGGGTTTGGGCAAGGCCAGCCTCTGGAGAGAGTAGTGGGGAGTGGATTGGGCAGGAGTGGGAGACCTTGAGGTTCAAACCTCCCACCAGCAGATATGTACTGGGCTCTGTGGAGGAAGGAAAGTGGAGACATCAGAGAAGTCAAGGGAGAACTCTAGGCATGGTGGGGAGGGGGACACTGCCTTCCACAAGCTCCATGGGGATCAGGCTATGGGAATCCCTTCTCTCTCTTCCTTCAATATGGAACTTTGCCAAATGGCTTGCACCCTAGGTGTACATTTTGTCATTGGGCTGGTGAGATCATGTCTAACTAATAAACATTTCATTCTTTTGACATACTGTATATGATATTTTTATGCAGATTCTTTGGGGAGGGTGGTAATTGGGGATTGAACCCAGGGAACTCTACCACTGAGCTGCATCCCCAGTCCTTTTTATTTATTTTGAAACGGGGTCTTACTATGTTGTCCAGGCTGGCCTTGAACTTGCCATCCTCCTGCATCCACCTCCTGAGCCACTGTCATTATGCAGATTCTTATCTGAATTCTAACTGTCCTTCAAGTCTCACCTTCTCCACTAATGCAGTGCCTGTGGGAAGTCCACTGAACTTCGCACAAGTGGGTGGCTTCTCTTCTCTGTTGGCCTGTAGTATTGAACAGTAGGAAATTGACTTAAAAAAAAAACAAACACAGTTGAATAGTAGCACATTTTCGGCTTCAACATGCTTTGCACTTAGTTTGCGGATATTCCCTATTTGCTGTTGCTGGTTTATTCAGGGGTTTCAGCCATGACTGTACATTAGAATTTTAAACATACCACAGGCTAGGAGTGTGGTTCAGTGGTGGAGCATTTGCTTAGCACGTGTGAGGTCCTGGGTTGGATCCTGGTACCAAAATAATAGTAATAAATTTTAATAAATGAATAAAAAGATAAGTAAAACACCATGCCCAGGGCCTGGGTTTGTAGCTCAGTGATAGTGCCCAGCACATGTGAGGCATGAGGTTCATTCCTCAGCACCATATAAAAATAAATAAATAAAATAAAGGTATTGTGTCTATCCACAACTAAATAAAATAAAATAATTTCAAAAAACAAAATACAATGCCTGTCCCCCAGATCATTTAAGCTAGACTTTCTGGGATGAGGCTCAAACCTTGGCATAGTTTTTAAAAAGTCCCAGATCATTCTAATGTGCTGCCAGGGTTGAGAACTATTGGATTTATACATAAATGTTCTATTTCCCCAACAAGACCACAGCATCTTAAAACTTAGATCTTATCTTATGTGTCTGAAGTCTTTTGGGTCCCTGATGCTCATAACGTCATCGATGACTACTCCTTTTTTTTTTTTTTTCCCCCTGTGCTGGGGATCTAACTCAGGGCTTTGAGCATGCTTAAGCTTGAGCTTTGCTACTAAACTACATCTTTCAGGCCCCCAGGCTAATTTTTAACAAATTTTTAAACCCTTCTTTTTCAGAGCTGCTCAGAGGAACAACCAGATTCTCATTACTTTCTTGTTCCCACCTACTGAACTTGTCTAACTCCTTCAAGGTCTAGTTCACATACTACCCTCTCTATGAACTATGAAACCTTATCTGAGGGGCTGGGGATGAAATTCAGTGGTAGATCATGTGCTTAGCATGCAGAAGGTCCTGGATTCAATCTCTAGCACTGCAAAAACAAAAACTTTGTGACCCATTCCTTCATTCTAGGCTCCTGGGCTGCCCCCACAGCTGTACCTTACTCTCAAGGAAATGCCAAACCAGGAGTGATGCCACTTCTTGTGCCCCTTTTATATGCTCAGCATAGTGCCATTTAATCCACAAAAAAACCATCAAAGTACCAGGTACATCTCTGGTATATACCTGAGACATGTGAGGTTCAAAGGTTTAAGAAAGTTAAAATCACCAGCCATGGTGGCATATACCTGTAAT